CTTAGCCCTCTTCCTCAAGGGGTAGGGAAGTCCTCTGGCCTCTTCAGTAGTCAGTGCCTCACTGGTCTGGCTGGCAAGCTTTTTACCTCTGGCCCAGCCCCGTGGCTTCTGGCCAGGTGGCTCATTAGGGCCAGATGTAGCCCACCAAGGCTCTGGGAGAGGCACCTCTCTTTGGGGGTCAGTGGGTGGCCACTCCAACCCACTACACACACACACCCTCAACTCCAGCTCCTGGGTATCGGGTCAGTAGTCAGTGCCTCACTGGTCTGGCTGGCAAGCTTTTTACCTCTGGCCCAGCCCCGTGGCTTCTGGCCAGGTGGCTCATTAGGGCCAGATGTAGCCCACCAAGGCTCTGGGAGAGGCACCTCTCTTTGGGGGTCAGTGGGTGGCCACTCCAACCCACTACACACACACACCCTCAACTCCAGCTCCTGGGTATCGGGGCTGGACTCTTGACCTTCTCCAACTCGTGATAAAAAGTCCGCATTAGTGTTCTCTTTGCCGGGCTGGTTCTGGACTGTAAATGCGTGCTGTTGTAGGGTGAGATACCACCTCATTATTCTGGCATTGCTGTCCTTCATGGTATGCAGCCACTTGAGTGGTGCATGGTCCGTCACCACCATGAAGGGGCTGCCCAAGGGGTAGTACCTCAAGGCATCAATAGCCCATTTAAGGGCCAGGGCTTCCTTTTCCACCACAGAGTAGTTACTCTCCCTTGGGAAAAGCTTTCTACTTATATATAGGACCGGATGTTCCTCTCCCTCTATGTTCTGAGACAGCACAGCTCCTAACCACACTTCTGAGGCATCTGTCTGAACCACAAAGGGATGGTTGAAATCAGGGCTAAATGGCACTGGCTCTCGGCACAGACGGTCTTTGAGAGACTGAAATGCCGCCTCACACTCTGGTGTCCAGCGTACCCTCTGGGGACTGTCTTTGGTTAAGAGAGAGGTGAGCAGGGCTGCAATGGCCGCAAATTGGGGAATGATGCGCCAATAATACCCCGCTAGGCCCAGAACTTGTCGCACCTTCCTCTTGGTTGTAAGTGCAGGGCAGTTTTGTATGGCTTGGACTTTATCTATGAGGGGGCGTACTAGCCCATGCCCCAACTGGCACCCCAGGTAGGTGGCTTCTTGTCAGCCAATCCGGCATTTCTTCAGTTTGGCGGTAAGGCTGGTGTCTCGCAGAGTCCGAAGCACAGCGGCCACCTGGAGGAGGTGTTTGTCTCACTGTTGGCTGTAAATGAAGTTGTCTAAGTAGGTGGTGGCATTCTGCGTGTGGGGCCTCAGCCAGCTGTCCATCATGCGCTGGAACGTCACAGGAGTGCCGTGAAGGCTGAAGGGCATCTGGACAAAGTGGAATAGCCCAGCCAGGGTGGTAAAGGCTGTCTTCCTGGGACAGCAGATCCAGTGGGATTTGCCAGTACCCCTTGGTCAAATGGAGGGTTGTGGTATAGTTGGCGGTTCCCTGACGATCCAGCAGTTCTTCAATCTGTGGCACTGGATAGGCACCGACCTTAGAGATGGCGTTCACCCTCCGGAAATCGATGCAAAACCGTATGCTACCATCTGGCTTTGGCACCAGCACTACAGGACTTCGCTACTCACTTCTAGACCATTCGATCACCCCAAGCTCCCACATTGCTTGGAACTCCTTTCCCACCACCTCCCTCATTTATTGGGGGAGGGGGCGATTACCCGCCCAGACTACCTGGCCGGGCATTGTCTGTATTACGTGGGTCGCTCTGGTGGTTTGTCCAGGAAGCGTGGTAAAGGTCTTTCGGAAGGCCTTCAGCAGGCACCTAGCTTGCTTCTGCTGCAGTTTGGTCAGCGTCTCCCCCAGCTGCAGGGTTTCGTCGTTACTTGGGTCTGGCACCTGGGGCCCTAGAACAGCTTCTGGTGGGTATAGATTAATGAGCAGTACTTCACGCTCCTGCCAGGGTATGAGGAGGTTTATATGGTAGATCTGCTTTTCTTTTTGTCAATGTGACTAGTGCACTTCGTACATTACTGGCCCCATACGCCGTGTGACCTCATACAGGCCTTGCCACCAGGCAAGGAGCTTAGATTCCTCTAAAAGGAAGAGAATAAGGACTTGGTCCCCAGGCTAAAAAATCCTTTCTCAGGCTCCCTGGTTGTAATTTCGCTCCTGGCCCACATGAGCCTCCTGTAGGTTCTCACGAGCCAACATCCCAGCCTGGGCCGTCGTTCTTGAAATTGGGACACAAATTGGAGAAGGCCTTGTGAGGCTGAAGAAGTGTTCTCCCAGGTTTCCCTCATTAAGTCCAGCACTCCCCGAGGCCGGCGACCATCGAGGAGTTCAAATGGGGAGAACTGGGTGGTCGACTGTGGCACTTCCCGGATGGCCAATAACAAGGGTGTCAGCAACTGGTCCCACTGCTACAGTTCCACTGGGGAGAATTTCTGCAACATCCCCTTTAGAGTTTGATTAAATCACTCTACTAAGCCATCTGTCTGCAGGTGGTACACCAACGTCTGGAGTTAGCGGATGCCCAGGAATGCACAGACCTCTCGGAGCAGCCAGGAGGTAAAATTCGTCCCTTGGTCGGTGAGCAGCTCTCGGGGCAGACCTACTCTGGCAAAAACCTTCACCAACTCAGCTGCAATAATGCAGACCATCGTACTCCACACCAGGATAGCCTCTGGGAAGTGAGTTGCATAATCCACCAGGACAAGAATGTGTGTGAACCCTGTCCTGCTTCTGGGAAGTGGACCAGCCAGGTCCATCGCGACCCATTCAAATGGGGTGCCTAATATGGGCATGGGCACCAGGGGAGCCCATGGACCCCCCCGATTGGCAGCTAGCTGGCACTCTGGACATGACTGGCAGTAGTCTTTCACTTCTTGGTACACCCCAGGCCAGAAGAACCAGGCCAGGACTTGGGCCAAGCTTTTGTCCTGGCCCAGGTGTCCAGCGGTGGCGATGTCATATGCGAGTCTCAAGACGGCTCTCCGATGGCAGAAAGGGACAACTAATAGGGACTGGACCTCTCGGGTCTGTGGATCCCAGCCCACCTGATACAGGCGGTCGGATACCAATTCACAGGGTCGACAAATAATACCCAGAAGAGCCGGGTTTGGGCGATCTGCGCATGCGCAGAACGATCAGTGCACGCGCAGATCGCCAGACAGCGTGGCTGGTGAGCAGGGCTCGCCATGGTTCGGCGAGCCCTACCAATTCAAAATGGGGCCACTGCTCAGCCGCCCGGGCATCCATGATAGCCCTGTTGACGCGGGCCACTTGGTCATAGGCAAACCGCAAGGACGGGTCCTCCTGCTGGTCCTGGGGCAAGTCCACCTGGCAAGTTGGTCCTAGGGCGTCTCCCGAGGGCCTCTCCGGCTGGCTCGGAACCCTCAGATCCTCCTGCTCCCTCAGTTTGCTCCTCCCCTTCTGCGGTGAGCTCTGCATCTAAGGGGACGTCCTGAGTGGTGGGGGAACGGTTGCAGACTCTGTGGATTAGATCTGTAAATCCTGGCCAGTCTCAGCCCGCTATAATGGGGTACGGGAAAGCGGGGCCTACTCCCCCCACCACTTCTTCAGTTACGCTGGCTCTAGTCAGAGCCACTTGGGCACGTGGGTAGGTCTTGACATCCCTGTGGATAAACTGGAGCCGTAGCTCTCCATTGGGCACTACTGGCAACAGGACTACATCCTTGCAAACCAGGGTCTGTCCACAGCCGGAGTCAACGACAGCCACCACCTCCCGGGCAGCCACAGTTACCAGTACTGTTAGTTTGGGCGGGCCCGACTGATGGGCCCAAGATTCCCTGGTGTACACCCGCCCAAACTTATAGTCTATCTTGGGACAGTCAAGCTGGAGATGCCCCAGGCAGCCACAGGAGAAACAGGGTCCCAGATTCGAGCGAGCTGGCTAGGTAGAAGCCTCTGGAGGTGGGATCTTTGGGACATTCCCACTGCTTGTCAGGCAGGGTCTCTGAGGTTGGCGTTCCTAGGGGCTGGTCGGTCAGCCTCCTCCTTATATCTGGGCCCCGTTCACAGCCGCCAGAGTTGACCTATCAGGCCACCCAGCCACCACCAGCCCCACTCAAATGCCACCAGTGCCGATGGAGGTTCCCTGGGGCTCCCTGGCCAACGCTCCCTTGCTGTAGTCTGGCCCCAAAGCTGTTGGGGCTTTCCCAGCCCTGACTGGTCCCGCTGCCACCTGGAGTTCCCCAGGCCCACCTGGCCCTGCTGATGTGGGACGGAGTGGGAGGGGGGCGTTCCCCAGCTAGGACGCCCGGCCACCTAGGCCTGCTGCCACTGAGAGTTTCCCAGGGTTCCCCCGCCGGGGCTGACTGGCTGCCGCTGGCCCTTCTGCCAGGATCAGTCCTGTTCCCGCCAGGGATTCCCTGGCCTGGGGCTCTATGGCTGCCGCCTGGTCCAGCTAACACTGGGCAGTCCCTGGCTGGGGCAGGGATTCCCCGTTTCCTGCCTGGCCCTGCTGATGCCGGGGCTCCCCAGCCAGCACCTGGCCAAGTCACTGCTGACCTAGCTAGGGCTCCTCATCCCTGCATGCTCCCACTCCTGGTCTCCAGGGCTCTTTGGTCCAAAAACATCCATGACCCTGCTGGACCACAGATGTTGCCAGACCAGAGAGTTTTCGATTTGGGAGGCTCAACCTGTATCATCACAGAATTATTCACAGAAATAGCTATCAGTAGACATATATTATATCCCTCTGCAGAAGCCTAGTATCAGTCATGCTCATCTTCTCCCAACCACCTTGCAAGCCCTTCCCAGCCACCCACAGAGTTTCATTCGTCTTCTAATGTCCCTTTTGTGCTCCCATACTTCTCCACATCCAGAATGCCGCATGCACTTCCACCTTCACCCTAATCCACCACATACTCTCTCCAACATCCCCACTCCTCACCATGTTCTCCTATTTCCCTAGCATATGCAGGTTTCAAGCAGCAATCACTGACTTTCAGTGCCCAGCACTTTAAAGGTGGTAGCTAGTCTGTTCTAATAAGGAGACTTCATTGATTCAAGAAGAGGAGTGACTGACAGAGGCAGTGGATGACAAGTAGCCAAGCAATTGGATGAGTTACTTTGTGTGTGTGTGTGTGTGTGTGTGTGTGTGTGTGTGTGTGTGTTTTAATTTAAATAAACATCTAAAATAAGGAAAGGCTCTAAAATGCAGGGGTAAATAAACAAAGGCAAAGATTATTTTAACTGTTGCAACCTAGTCCCGCCAGGCAGCTGTGTGTAACAGCAGCAGCAGGACTGACAAGCTCCAGGGTGTGCTACCAGGCGGCCCTGCTGCCAGGCTCCTGGCCCCACTGCCAGGCAGCCCCTCTGCCTCCCCTTCCCCTTCCCCCCCCCAGTGTCACCAATTGGCAGGCATCCCTGCTGCTTGACTCCTCCCTGCTGCCACAGGGCAGCCCCATTAATAATAAACAGGGCTCCCAGACACCAGCCCTTCACCAGGACTCCGATCCTGGAACATACATTCCGGACCAGGGATGTTGCCAGATCAGAGCGTCCTGGTTAAGAGCGATTCAACCTGTACTACAAAAACTGGTAAGTCCAGTGAAAACTTAAAACTGTGGAAAATGTAATGGCAACAAAAGCAGTTTTAAGAAGAATAAAGAAGTATTTATTTTAAGAAGGTGAGAAATAAAACACACATATCAGCAAAGTAAGAAAAGGGGAGAATTCAAAAAAATGAACTCACTCACTGCCCTTGCCATTTGTGCTACTCTGAGGGCCAAGGCAGCCCAAAAACTGTCCTTAAGGAGCATCTAGAAATGGCTCTGGCATAGGTAACTCTGCACCACGCACTTTTATTCTGTGTGAGCAGCAAATGGGCAAGGGAAGGGTGGACCAGAGCACATGGTCAAGTTGTCCCCTGAGATGGGGTTCTTTCATCCCCAGAATCATGGGGGTGAGAAGATGATGTTAGAGTATTAGAATATTTTCTACTCCTCAGCTGGGGATTATTTACCCAGTCAAGTTGAGCACTAGCTAGACAACAGGACCTCATTGCTGTTGCAGTTTGCTTCCCTCCAGTTATTTTTCAAACCCAGCTGCCACATCCTGTCTTAAAATCAGGGTCTGTCTTTGTTGAGAGTATTCGCACTAGAGCAGCTGCACTGATAAAAGCAGTGTAGAAGCACTGCACGGCTGGCCTTACCATGAGGCGAACTGAGGCGGCCTCCTCAGGTGCCAGACTGGGGGTTGGGAGTGGGGGGGTGCCACCAGGACCCAGAGTGTAGAAAATTGGGTCTGCTGCTGGTGTGTATGTATTCTCTCTGCTCCAGATGCACAGAGATGGTGGAGTGCTGTGCTGGAGGAAGGAAGGCACAAGAGACGTAACAGGCAGGCAGGAGAAAAGGTGGCATGGGCGTGTCATTTGAGCTCCCCGCCTCAGGTGCCAAAATGTTGTGGGCTGGCCCTGAAGCACTGCACCAGTGAAAAACAGAGCTTTGCGCTGGGGGGTTTGCATCAGTGCTGCGACAGCAATAAGAATACTCCCAGTTTAAAATCATGGTAAGCTACACTAGTGAGTACAAACCTCATTGTACATCAGGGAAGTGCTCTCCCTGGGGGTTTGCTTCAATGTAAAGTACCTGAGCTGTTACACCAGTACATCTACCCCCAATATAGAACAGGCCCTTATTTTGTAAGCCTATCCAGACAAGGCCTTTGTTTTTCATGTATGATTGTACAGCTCCTAGTGCAATCAGACCCCAAATCCTGACTGAAAACAAAATCTCTATTTATTATTACTGTAATACCAACAAAAATAGTATTAATAGTTTCCAGTCTTCAGTCTCTCTTTTACATTTAAGGTTGTAAAAGAATTACTAACAAATGATATTTTAGTGGTCCAATTTGGCATTCCTTTAAATCCCCACTAACCAATATTCCAGTCTTCAGTCTCTTTTACATTTAAAGTTTTAAAAGAATTACTAAAAAATGATATTTTAGTGGTCCAATTTTGCATTCCTTTAAATCCCCACTAACCAATTAACTGACTGGAACTTGTGGATTTACAAAAAAAATTAGATAATATTGAACTCTAAAAATGCACTGAATAAAAATTAGACTTACCTATAACAGTTACATTAATGTTTCGTGAAATGTTATATTCTTTCCCCATATATTTATATGTCATTTTGCATAAGTAATTTCCTGAGTCATTTACATTCGCATTGGTTATTATGAGATCATCATTCCGAGATGTAAATCTTTCATTTTTAGTCAGGTTACATTCCTAAATACAACAAAAAGTGCTTTGCTAAATAACAGAGAACAATACAGGACTAAAAAATATCAATTTCAAATATTCCTTTTCATGGAATGTGACAAAGTAGTTTTACCAGTTAGGTTCAATATGAATTTTAGGTTAAAATTAGAACAACTGAGGATTTTTTCCTCCATCAGAGGCAGCAGCATGGGGTACCAAGTGGGAGTTGATCTGTGAGGGGAGCCGGTTTAAAAACCAGATCCCCTGGGGGGTGGGAGGGAGACTGAGCTCCCAGACCTGGTGTGAGCCAGAACTGAGCCAGGCTGCCTGCCCGTATGACTCCTAGTTCACTTTAAATGAAGAGCCGAAGAGGGGGTACGTCCCGGACCCAGTGCAAGCCAGGACTAAGCTGGGCTGCTAAAAATTTTACTGTCGGGGGAGGAGGAAAAACACATGTAGTCTATAGCATTCACCAATAAGCTTTTGCTTATCAGTTACTCAACTGCACTATTATATCCCTAGGTCACCCTACTGAAGAACAAAATCACCCTACTGTGAAAATACATATATCATGAGAGAGATTTTTAAAGACCACATTTTATTCGATATCGGGGAAAGGGAAGATGAAATCACCTTCAAAACAATAGGCCCCTTGAGGGTCAGATGGGAAGCTAAAACAGACAAGCTTATCTACACTTTATAATAGTCATATAGTCTCTATAATAGTCAAGTCTCCCTTGCATGTACTTTTCTGATTCTCAACTATTATGGACTTCTTCAAGTCTCCCTTGCATATACTTTTCTGATTCTCAACTATTATGGACTTCTTTGCATTTCAGAACAAGTCAAACTTACAATTTAAATGGTACTAATTATAAATAGAAGATCATTTTAATTTGAAAAAGCTCATGCATTTTCAGCAACAATCAAACTTTGCGTGAATCACATCCTATTTCATTGAAAAAAGTAATATGGTTTATTTTTTTCTCCCATCCCACCCTCCACTATCAATTCTAAACAATTAAAACACAAAATCATAGTTGAAAATGAAATAGAAGACAGACCCCACAAGATCTTATACCTTATACCAGTGAACGAGTGAAGTATTTTTCTCATCTCTGAAGAAGTCTAGATAAGGACACACAATCTTTACACTTGATGATGCTGGTACCTCTTGAGGATAAAGATAATTCCCATTGAAACACAAACCAGCAGTATTTTTGAAAACTGTTATATTGAAGTATATTTTGTTGCAGCTTGTTAAATTCCTGTAATGAAAATAAAACAGCTGAATTACAGTTCTAATATTTTTTCATGTTTATATTATTTTCCTTTTCATACCTGCTGCCTTTTCTCCTTGGTAAATTCTAATAGAGCTTTAACATCAGGCTGGAAACAGCTCCCTTCAGAAGCAAATCCATTGATGTGTAGCTCACAGAGGGTATGTCTACACTACAAAGTTAGTTCGAACTAACAGACGTTAGTTCGAACTAACTTTCATAGGCACTACACTAGCGCTCCGTTAGTTCAAATTAAATTTGAACTAATGGAGCCCTTAGTTCGAACTAGGTAATCCTCATTCCACGAGGATTAAGCCTAGTTCGAATTAACTAGTTTGAATTAAGGGCTGTGTAGCCCCTTAATTCGAACTAGTGGG